TTGAAAAACATTGAAAAACAGTTCAAATATTTGTTTTGTCAGAGTAACTGATTATTTCCAAAATCAAACTCAATAAAATAAAGGCTGGTTTCACGCCACTGGAACTTTAAATTTCATGTCTTTGCAATTCACTCTCTCTTATCTCTATAATTCTAACTACCGAGGGCATACCTCTCTACCTTTCTCTAACAAGCCATGTTCTTTCATACTTCCAAGCCTTGACAACACATTGAGCAGAGTACTGGGAAACAAAAAGCTTTCTTTTTACTTTTTTTTTTTTTAACAAAGACATTCTTTAGCCTATACCTGACAGTCTATGAAAATGTATGAAAGATTGCAAAGGTCATGTGGTATCAGTCAAGCTCACTTACATGAATCTGAGAGTAAAATCTGTCTCTCCCAGAGAGAAGATATGTATACATGTTTTAACTATAAAATTTATAAATTAAAGAAGTTACACAATCCTGTCATCAAAAATTCAAGAGAGAAGGGGATAAGTACACTAAAAAAAGTACTTTATAATTGTTCCAGTTATGAGTTCAGACTCTACATATAAAAGTGCTATATATTAATAATTAGTTGTAGTAATAAAAACCTGTTTTATAAAATATAATTTAGAAAAATATTGAATATGCACCATCTCAAATAATCATGTAAATATCTGAATGAAGAAGCAAGATAGAAATCATATTATAACGAAAATGTCAGTACACTCACAGCAAGAATCTTATTCATTGTTATATCCGTTGCACCCAGATTACCTAGCATATAATGAGCTCTGAATAGTATTTATTAAATTAAAAAAGGTAAATCAATGTAATTTTCACTCTACTTTACAAGGACAGTAACTGAAGCTAGTTAAGAAAATCTCACTCAAAAATCTCACAACTGCTAATTGGAAAATTTGGGACTTGGGTTTATTTCTTCTTGACACAAGGGCTTAGAATACTCATTCCATTACATCACACTTCCCACACTTGCCCAAAAGTTAGAAGAAAATCAGAACACAAAAATGAAAAATCTCAAACCTATTCCTTTCTTCAATATTTTCTGTACTCCATATTACCAGTGTTAATTCTTAAACCAAACTCATCTTTGTACTCGTTAGAGCACAACATTATTTAGTTTTGTGCTTTCCTATACTACCACTATTGTTTCAACTGCAGCGAAGAGATAGGTATGGAGGCATATGGCTGTGCGTCTTCATTACAATGGCCTTCACATCAGTGGGATTCCAAGTTAAATAATGTATCAGTTTCTCAGATTGCTCAGGCAACTCCAGAGAACTGTGGGAGGTGAAAATTTCTGAATGATTCATTCTGGTATAGTTTACACTGAAGAAAAAGAGGAGGTTTAAGGTACCTCTCCTTCAGTCATGAGGCTTGTTTCTCTCTCTTTTCCCTACAACACATCCAACTAGTTCCTGACATGCCAGGACACAAACACCAACCAGAGCATGCCCAGAAGCTAATTTTTTTAGATTTAACTGCTAATAATGCTGACTAAACTGACTTTGATAAAACATTATCACTAACTTAAACTGGATCAAACTGCCTAGAATATTGAAGAGTGTATCTTTTAGAGATTTACTTGTAGGTCATGTTATTAAAGATGTGGAAACCATGTAAGCAAAAGTTAATTATGGCAGACCCGTCAACTAGTGTTTCCTATGATTGCATAGAATAACTAATAAACTGAGACATAAAAAATAAATATGATTATTTTTATTGTGTATAATTTTAAAGAGTGATTTATGAAACATTATACTAGTGGTCACATGAAAATTTCTGAGAAAAAAATTTCAAACACAACTTACCTAAATCAGAAGGTATCCTTGAAAATCATAAACATTACACATTAGATAAGCACATATAGCATAGGCAAAGGCAAGCACCTCAAAATAGTTTGGGCTATGTAGAGAAAGACTAAATGTCATTAAGTGTGAGGCGGAAAAACTTCTCTTAATGCTATGATAAAATCCTACCTGGAATGATGTACATTTGAGTATAAGCAAATAGTAAGAATCATACATGAATTATTACAAAAAAGAAAGATCTTATTTCTCTTGGGTTTTTTTTTTTTAATTTTTCATGTTTTAATTTAGATCACATCTACTGTTAACCTTGATTTTTACCAAGATTAAGTACCTCCCAAAGGTTATCGGCAAGTAATTAAAATTTCATGGGATGGTCAGGCTTAAACCAAATGCCAACTCTTCTGACTACATTCCATTACACAATATAATGGTATAGGGAGTCAACTGAGCTATAGACTCAATTTCTTGAATTTACTTTCAAGAAATTACATTAAAGAGGATACATGTCTTAGGATAATGCCCAAACTAACACTTTAAAAGCTACCTGCTTTAAAAGCTATTTGGAAGACAAACGGAAATAAAAACATGGCTCATTCATTCATTAAATAAACATTTATTTAATGTTCACTGAGCAAAACTCTATACTATTATGATTCCTGCCCCATGACAATCAAAATAAAAAAAGAAAAAATACAATGCAGTAAATACAAAATGACATGGTAAAACCACATACATAAAAAAACAGAGGTGTAAAGTAATGATAATAGGACTAAAATAATTAGGAAAGTCTTCCCTAGAGAGATCATGATTATATCAACTAATGACATTTTAATTGTAGGATGTACACAAAGACAAAAAGTAAAGTATTAAGCAAGAAATTCAGCAAATATATTTTTAGTGGAAGGCTAAGTTGAGGAACTAATAAGATAAATTTGGAAAAGACGGTAAACCTAATTGACAAATTGATTTTACATTTAAGAAAATAGGAAACAACATATTATACATACTTGGATAACAGAAGAGTAACATAAAGAAAATGCTAATTGGTTAAGGTATTTCTTTCATACCTAGATATAGGACAGACTATAATACCGAAAATAAAACCAGTGAAACTACTGCAGTTACTCAAAAGGTAAGGTGATCAAGGTCTGTGTGAGAATGGCTGAAGAAGTCTGTGCAGCCAGGTAACAGGCTGGGGTGTTATAGGAGGATAAGAAATACTAGTGTTTCTTTGGAGCCAAATTATCACAAAAATCAATTAAAAATTCCTGGCCTACTAGAAAACTTAAAGGCCCAGAAGTCTTCAGTGCAAAACAGATAAAAAATGTCCCACAGCTTTGGTTTCGATAGTACATATGAAGATACTGTTAATGAGGCATCGCACAACTGTCTTAGAACTGAATAAAAAAAATAAAGTTTATTCCATTAATCACTCCAAAATTGGTGAACTAGATTTTAAACCCAATTTGTTTCTATGCAGACAATAAAACTCAATAACAAATTCAAAAACATGCTTTAACATACTAATGCTGCACCTTTCTATCTCTGGTGGAAGAGCTCTATAATACTATTATTCTTAAGCAGAAATTAATCCTTATTAGTGAACAGGGGTCAAAAGGGTCTTAATATAAATTCTTGATGTAATCAGTAAAGGCATAATTACTCTTACTCGGGGATTGCATATTTCATCCACCCATTCAAAACAGACACTCTTGCCCCTGACTTAAGGAGGTTCAAACAGGTTATACCACTCATGTGGTCCTTAAATGTGGTAACCATTAATTGGCTATAAACAGAAGGCAGCTACACATGAAAGTCACAAATTGCTTTGTCACCTCACATTTTACCTTTGTTCTACTGAAAATAGGCCCCAACCTGCAGAATAATAAAAAGGAAGAAAAAAAAAATCAAACTAGCAAATTCATTCCGAAGAAAAAAAAACAAGTATTTAAAATTTCATGATGCTTTACAGCCACATATACGAATCACAGATTTGTCAGAGTTGCCTGTCACCACAAAAATGAAAAAGAACTCACACTGACTATAATTTATTAAATAAAAGCAATCACAAATCTTCAAGCTATTAATGATCAACAAATCACCAGCCACGTGACTGGGGGGAAAAGCTGCGATTCGGTTCTCACTAAAAGAGGGTGCCTACTAAAGAGACAATCAAAATGACTAAACAGATCTCTGTGCTGACTGATGCAGTTTCCATGTACTAAATAAAAAGGAAATGTCAAAAGCACACACATATGCAAAAGTCACAATCCAGAGACAAACCCAGCTACAAAATAAGTGTGACTGGGTAGTATTCAGAGAGGCAAAACTATAAATTCTAAGGTGTTTTCCATTTGAGAGAAATCTTAGGTGTTTTTTATACTACATTACCAGAGAAGCAAAATGAAATGCTACCGGAATCTGAAAAAGGGATGTTGAACAGAGTGTACACTGAATTCCCCTTTTAATAAAAAGAGGAGAGATTAAAAAAAAAAAATTCGAAATTTCCATAAGGCCAGATTTAAAAAGTAGAAATGGCGTTACCCACAGTCCCAGGTCTAGAACAGGGCTTTTTTGTACCAGGCAGAAGCCACCCACCACGCATTCCCTGACTCTTCACTGTGTCACTCCAGAAACCAAGAGGCCTTGATTTCCAGGTTGCTAATGTGATCCCAGGCTCCCAGCACACATTTCTGTCCAGGCTGGACCAGTGGGGCCACTTCTGTCCACGCAGCCTCCAAGAATTGCAACACCGAGAACCAGTACGCGGTGGGTGGCACAACCAGGCTGACAGGTCAGCCTACCTGCCACCTTCACAAAAACACCGGGAGCACACACGTTTTCTGCTACTACTTTCTTGAGCTTGGCTCTCTTGGAGAGGAGAAGACAAAAAGTACTGTAAACAAGTTACATCTTCTCTTGTCCCAAAACGGGATGCCGAGGTGCGGCGGTGGCAGCACCACGCTCCCATCCCACCGCTGGGCACACACTCCAGGGGGCGGCCCCCTGCACTCCGCCGGCGCCGAGGCGCGGAGGGCGCCCTGCAGGCCCCGGGCCCGCAGCGCTCGGCGGGCACCGTCTGGGGGCAGGCGGAGGGGCGACTCCTTGTTGAAGGGACCCGCAGAAAGGGCCCTGACCCGCGACCTAGAGAGGCCGGGGGCTGCCAGGTGGGCCTGCCGCTTACCTTGTTGAGGTGGGGGATTCGCGTCACGGCGTAGCCGCGTTGGTGGGTGTGGCGGCGGCGGGGGGCTTCCGGCTCCATGGCTGGCGCTCGGCAGGGCGGCGGGGTCGGCTGGAGTGTGGGGCACGCGCGGTACAGGCGGCAGATGCCTCTGGGGCGTCAGATCGTACTGCGGCGGCGGCGGCGGCGGCGGCCGCCCAGGGGAAGGGCCCCGGGCCGGGGGCGGGCGTGAGTGGCGAGAGGGGGTGGACGCGGCGGGAGGAGCCGGCAAGAAGTCGGTGTCTCCAGCAGGACAGCCTGTGAGAAACGCTGAGTCATGTCAGGAGATCCTCCGAGCCGGCTAGTGAGGAAGAGCGAGGCCCTGAAGGCGCCGCGGGTGCCTCGGGCGTCGCTCCCCCACCCCCTCACCATCACGCTTCTGATCACGACTGGACTGGCCCATCACTGGGTGGGACGTGCCTCAGTGAGGTGCACCGAGTGCGCTCCTTACTTACCCCCGACACACGTGGGGGGGAAGGCCAGGTCCCCCCACCTCGCAAGAGCCGAGCCCCTGGTAAAGGGGGGACCCTCAGCCAGAGAGAGCAGCGGCAGGGATGTGGGACCCAACTGCTGCTGAGTTGTTCCAGGGGTTATATGCATAAAACGAGGGGATCCAGGGGTTCTTTGCATAAAGCCACCCCTGACGGATGAGAATCAGACATCTCTCCCTTTCAAAGCACTCTATCCACACAGTCCTGGGTGCCAGCCATTGCCTGGGAGCAGGAGGCAGGAGAGCACCAACCTTGACCCACAAAGCCAGGCCCAGGTAGAACCGGGAGAAAGGCGAGAGAGGAGGGAGCGGCCGCGACATCGCATGAGTCATTCACTGTAAATGATCCATGGGAATTTTACTTTCATGCCACTAAAATAAAAGGCAAGTTGTGTTAGCATGCAAATGTGTTAGACCCAGTAAACAGTCACATTTACCTTGTATGTAATTTTCATAAGTTCTAGAACCCAAGATGTTTAAGAACCTCTCTCCCTGAATAATGAATAACTGGATCTTTAAGGGCTTCAATTCAGTTCCTTGGGTAAAATGACAGGGTCAGAATACATGATGTTACAGCGCTAAAATTCTGTCTTGATATTTATATTGAAAGTTTCAAGGAATGCAGGGACAGTCAGATCAGAGCCAAAAGAAGTATCTGACACAACAACAAATACTAATGATTTCTGCGCCCCAATTTCCTTTTCAGTTAATTAGGAATCCTAGTTTCTGCCCTATTCATCTCTACCTCATAATATTACAAAAGACAGTATTTGGGATTAATTATTTGTTGGCTTTATAGATCCACAAACTAGACACATATCCAATCAATGTCTTTATTTCTAATTATGTTCTTTTTCTTATAAAGATTTGTTACAGGAATTGTTTTTTGGCCACACTTATATCCAGAAGCTTCTTCAGTCTATCTAGAATCAGTTGTTTTATTGAGATAACGTTTTACTGGTATCACGGAGTCTTTTAAAAAAAATCCCCTGTATTTAAATGTTTTTCACTGTGAAGTCTATAATCCATAAATAATTAACTCTACAACATGTGAGAAGAGGGTATACTTTACAAAAGTCACTCTCTTAGATTAACTGAGGCACATTACAATTAGAGTGCTTTATATGAGACAAAAACAGTTTAACAGGCCTGAGAACCAAACAGAAGACAGTGAAGAAGAAACAAAGAATGGTAGTGCAACAGAAACTTATTATAATGCAGTTCTTATTACATAAATTTAGATATATTACTTGTCTATTCCTGCTTCTGTGATATTATATCTACATATAGAAACACTGCTGTAAATACAGGGAGTAGCCCAAGAAGAGTGTGTGAACTCTTCCTCCAAGGCATCATTACAAAGGCATTACAAAATCCTGCCAGTGCAAGTAAGGTTCACATCTCTCTTCCATGTGTTTATTTCTCTTATGAAGAGCTCCAGTCATTTTGAATGATAACAGTATAAGGCCTAGCTAGGGAGCCATCTTGTATATTCACGTGCAATTTCAAGAATACTGGGGAGAACTTATTTTTCCACGTAAATGTTAGCCAGAACATCAAAATTTGCAGTCCTTTTAAATCATTTATAAGGTTAGGTTTTATAAACAAAAAACATGGAGGAAAAACAAATGCATAGGAAAAAACTCTTGCTTCAATTTTCCTTGGAAGAAACTACAGTTGTACGGTCATTCGGCACACATTTGGTAATGTTAAGAATGGATGTTATTCACAAGCTAAGGGACTAGAAACCTATAGGTTTCTGTTACACAGGTGAGAACAGTAAACCTACAGTCAAAATCAAATTTTTCTTGCCCAAGTAAGGTCAGTGCACAATGAGCTCTAATCATACTAAAATATGATTATAGTACTCTGATCTAATGTCACTGAGATTTCAAGTACAGGCATACAACACATATTGTGGGTTCAGTTCCAGATCACTGGAATAAAGCAAGTATCACAATAAAGCAAGTCATAATCTTGGTGCTGGTGAAGAGTCCAATCTTCAATTTGCAAAGGAAAACAAACCAAAAAAAGCAACATCTGAGGCACAATAATGCTAAGTGCAATAAAACAAGGTATGCTTATACAGAAAATTCAGGAAACACCTAATAGCACGTACAGCATCTCAAATGTTTTACTTTCTTGAGAAAAAGGATAATCTAATAGAAAAAAATAGCTAAATGATGGTTTGTGATATTTAGTAAATGATCCTGTATTTCTTCACACAAAAAGCACATTATGTAAAATAACTTCTGGTTTTTATTTTTTTTAGTTGAAAATCTCAAAATGCCTGGTTCTTGGTGAGTTTCCTTTGAAGGAAAGACTTTGACCTTCTGGGGTTCTAAGTTGAGAATTCCAATGTTCAGTATATTAAAGAGGAGAAAGTCTACCAAAGTGTCCCGCCCTCAGAATTCAGAGTCAAATGTAGGTGGCTGAATCCCTGGGATGGCCAGCCCCAGAGTCATTGCCAACCAAGGAAAGAGTTGACTTTTTGCCTACATACTGAAGTAAGGATACAATTTGAATGAGTGCTAATATAGGGGAGGCAAAACTTTATCTCTACCCCATTTTAGGTTTTCAGCTGGGAATCTTTAACAAGAACACATTAACAAAAGAATAACTGTTTATTAACACACGCAATGCACATCACACTGGAGAAACCTAAAACAAAGAGTGATTCAAAACAGCAGCTTACAACTGCAATCTACAGAGCATCTTCCAAAAAGAACAATAAATTTATAGAGAAATGAGAGGACAAAGGAAAGCAGTTTTAGGCTTCCAAAGGCGGCAAACTGTGGGAAGGTAAATATATGGGAGGAAACTAATGGAGTAAGGTTTGTTTGCAGATTCCTCTGGTCCTCAAAGATACATATTTTGGGGTTACGTATCCTTCATTAGGCTCTACACCTGGCTCTATGGAATCCCTGAAGAATCAAACTATGAGTTATTGGCATTTGAATATTATAGTAATAGGTGAAATTGATATGTCATTTCATTAGAATATTTTAAAGAGATGTACCTTTATCTTACTCTATTCTATATAAGCAAAAGTTTATGCAAAACCTTCATCCTCTAAGGCAGCAGTTCTCAACCTGTGGGTCACGACCCCTTTGGGGGTCGAACGACCCTTTCACAGGGGTCGCCTAAGACCATCAAAAACAAAAAGATATTTACATTACGATTCATAACAGTAGCAAAATTACAGTTATAGAGTAGCAACGAAAATAATTTTATGGTTGGGGGTCATCACAACATGAGGAACTGTATTAAGGGGTCACGACATTAGGAAGGTTGAGAACCGCTGCTGTAAGGGATTCTAGAGCTCTATAAAGCACAATTTTTGAAGTAAGCTATATGACTCTTTATTAACACCTAAAAGCATTATCCCTATTATTAGGAATTATGTAATACAACCTCATTCATTCTTATTGTGTATTACAATCATTTTATATATATATATATATATATATATATATATTAGATTGTCAGAAAAGTCATGACGCATTTTTGCAATGAAAAAGAAAAAAAACAAACAAAAAAATATATATATATATTTATAGAAACTGCATGGTGATTAAGTAATTTTGGAATAAATCCATTGACTGTCACAACATGCAGAAACCATTTATATCTTAGCTGCACATTTATACCTGAACAAATTTTCATTAATCATACCAATAACTTTCAAATAATGTAATAAAAAATCTGGTTGCAGTATTTTATTTTGCTGAATTACATTTGGAAACATGAAGGTAGCTGTTTACTTATTTTAATACTAGTAAATTCTGGGTTCTATTTTATAGTACATGTATAGAAACTTAAAAGATCATAAAGTTCCATAAGGAGACATTATTTAATCTGTGTCACTGATGTGTATTTGCAAAAACAGTTGAACACTGAAAACGTTAAAATTTTCAAGATAGGACACTGGGAAAGGTTTATACTCTTCCACAATGAGGCTAGTGTACTTCTGCACAAGTCTTCTTAGTGACGTCAATTGACTAGAGGTAGGAGTTTATTTGTGAATTGCTTGATAGCCACCATTTCCTGGTGACATGCACTATGCATCATACCTTCATAGATTTTGAAGGTTATATTGGCTAGAATTTGCCAATGTTTTCAGCTTTTCAACAGCAAGAGAACCAACTATTAGAGGTACAAAAGTGTCGTAATCTCCATGGCACTGGAGAACAGTAATATCTATTAGCGCCACTGATGACCTTGTGGAATTGAAGTCACCAGTGGACTCTGGCAACTAAAAGCAGTGAAGCCTGTTAGCTTCTGCTGTGTGGTAAGAGCAGTGTATAAAGAAAAAACTCCTCTCTGAGAAAATCCTCCCAAAACCATTCTCTTTAAAGAAATACCATTCATCCCCTTTGTTGTTTCAAAGCTTTCACATTTTCTTCTGCCTGTTTAATTCCAAGTTCATCCTTTTGTGAATCTGGTGAAAGCCTAATAATATTAAACCAAGGAAGCACAGCCATGTTTACATTTAGTGTAACAGGCATAATTGACACATGCAGTTAGATATATTTGATATATGAACTTCCGATACCTGCAAAGGCGTCTGTATCTCCCCATCCAGGAAGGAAAATCATGATGGCAGGAAGCAGGGGCAGACATCGTATTGCCCTGTCAGAAGCGGAAAGGGGAGCGGAAGTGGGCCTCGGCCCTTCTAGAGAGCACAATTTAAAGATCAAGGATCTAGACCAGAGGTTTTCCATCTTTATCCCATAATAGAATCACCTGGAGAGCTTTAAAAAACACTTGACTGGGCCAAGACTTACGTGGTCTGGGTTGTAGCTTTAGCACCAGGATTTTGGCCGCAAAGTCCCCAGATGATTCTAATTTGCAGTCAAGAGTAAAAACCACTGGTCTAGAATAATGGTTCTCAAAATTTTGCTTGTATCAGAATCAGCTGAAGGGCTTTTTTAAAAGCAGGGCCCCACTCCCAGAGTCTCTGATTCAGTAAATCTAGTTGGAGCTCTATAATCTGCATTTCTAGCAAGTTCCCAGGTGATGCTTTTGATGATGGTCAAGTGATCACATTTTGAGAACAACTGGTTTAGAGCAA